CGTCACACGGTCCAATCAAAGTGAAGCGACAGAGAACAGGAGTCTCCTCTGACTTCAGGGCTCAGTGTGAGCATCAGACACATGGTTCATATATTTATTCTACCGTCTGGCTAACTGTATGAACTCCTGCTGGCTCCGTCTGTAAATATATGTAGACATTCTTATTTGTCTGTTTATACTCTGCACCACGGGAGATGTCTTTTAGTTCTGTGGTACTTTGTGCATGATGACAATAAAAGCATTCTGTTCTATTCGGTTTTTCTTTCTGGGCGTCTCGGCGTGAGGCGAGCTACAGACGCAGCTCGTCTCCTCGCTCAGGACGGTGGAATGTGCTGATAGAACGGCAGCATCCTGATGGACATCAAGACTCAGCAGCTCTGGGCAGCGACCTCGTGTGTTCACGAACTCATGAGGAGACCCTGTCATGTGCCTCTGTCCCTTAAATCTGTACAAAAGCAGCAAATAGCAGCAGACGAGGAAAGTGCTGAGCAGCGTCCACGAGCCTTTCGGTTCCAGTTATGATGAACGACTGCCGCTGAGGCGTCCAGACAGAGGACGCCTCCTCAGGACAGAACACAACAAGCTTCTCTTACACGAGCTGTGCTTGTGCGCTGGCTTGTTCCTTCACAAACTGGTAGCTCCACTTCAAGGAGGAGTGTGCGTCCGCCTGGTCGCCGGCAGAGGAGAAGGTGAGGAAGCGCAGCGTCTCCATGGCGAGGGACAGGTGAGGGGCGTGTCTCAGCGAGTCCCCGGAGTACAGGTAGAGCCCTATGACGGGCGAGCCGTAGTTCTGACTCCACAGGACGTCACCTGGAAAACAGAGCAGCAGTCACAGCGCGACCAGAGGGTGGAGACGAAGCAGCGACCGCTCACGCATGTAACGGTCATTAAACATGGACAGAGCAGAGACCACAGCGCCCCCTACCTGACTCTCTGTCAACCGTCACCACCAGACCGTCACCACTGGAAACCAGATGGGCCATTTCTGGAGGAGAAGCAGGTGCAGCCGCTTAGTCTCAAAGATGAAACACAACATTTCTGACCGCTTTCAAAAGGCTTCACGTGTTCTGTGAGGTTCTGTGTTTCGTGGTGAGTCCCAGTTTCTCAGCCGTGTTCACTCTGAGACCACTTCATCTGGCTGCTTCCACAGACGTTCAGCCGGACGCCACCGAAACAGCAGAGACCTCCAAGAACTTCTGCACAACTCACGAGCTCCGTCAC